GAAAACTGATTGGAAAAGAAAAAAAATTCAAACTACGAAAGCTGATTGCTAAAAAAGTAAAAATAGAAATAGATTAAAAGTGTGTCTAATTATTTGGAACTTTGGTACTCCTTTCTTGATATATCGAGGTAACACATGCTACCCCTTCTGGCTAGAGTGCTCTTCCCTCCCAATTTACCAGGCTAAATTTCTTACTAATTTTTCAAGCCTCAGCTCAGGATTGCTTCACTGAAGAAGATATCTGTGGCAGCCAAATGGGTCAATTTCTTCTTTAACACCCTGTACATAGCTGATTCTCAAGTACTTTTAACTATGGTAGAGTTGGATATTGACTTCTTGCAACATAGACCCGTCATAGAAAAAATACTTCTTGAATTACCCATGATTGAGTTTCCTAAATATCAAGTTGTTCTGAATTAGAGTATCCAAACTTGAATTAGATTAGAGTTATATGTACGCAAAATGTTGCAACAACAGATGACGGAGCCAGAACATACTATGTAGCAAGATAGGACAGAGTGATCCGTGAGGCAAAATAGTTTGAAGAGATCAAATATGTCCATAGAAAAATAAAAGCATATTTTAGAAAGCAAAAACAGCCCAAGAAAGACAATTGAACATGTAATTGCTGAGAATGCAGAGTAAAATAGAGATGAAGATGAAGTTAATCTGAAGATATTTCCTGGAGCAAATTCTGAATCCCAAAATTTCCCCTTCTTACACAACCAGGTCTTTTGGAACTAATGTTGATTGTAAAGTTCAATTGTGATCTTAACGTGTTATGCAGCCACAAGCAGATGGGATATTGTATCATTTTTAGTAGCATGGAAGTGACTATAAATATGCTAAACATTAGTTCACCAACTGCTTATTTTCTTACTTCGTTAGAGAAGAAAATTACTCCATTCATAGAATGTTTCATTTCCTTTTCCACAGAGCTGATCACTAAAGCATAGGTCTCACTGACATGGCAATTATTTCAGAACGAGAAGAAGAAAGCTACAATACACATTGTCTAAATTACTGAATTCTTACAAAATCAAGGTAGAGGTCAGAAGTAGGATGGAATATTTTTCAGCTGTTGAGGAAGACATATTATTTAAGGGCTTTATACAATGATATTATGAGAAGATGTCAGGACATAGGAAGAGACCCGGGCTCAATCTTCCTTATCTTCTCTATCTTGGACTCTATCATGAGGACACTGAACAAAGTGATCTTAAAGGGACATGGATGAATCTGGAGAACATCATTCTCAGCAAACTGACACAAGAACAAAAAATGAAACACCGCATATTCTCACTCATAGGCGGGTGATGAAAAATGAGAACACATGGACACAGGGAGGGGAGTAGTAAACACTGGGGTCTATTGGGGGGAAAATGGGAGGGCCAGTGGGAGGGGGAGGTGGGGAGGGATAGCCTGGGGAGAAATGCCAAATGTGGGTGAAGGGGAGAAAGGAAGCAAAACACACTGCCATGTGTGTACCTATGCAACTGTCTTGCATGTTCTGCACATGTACCCCAAAACCTAAAATGCAATAAAAAAATTAAAAATAAACAAATAAAGGTCATCCTCACTTGTAAAGTCTATGCACTAGGCTGCTTTTTGTTATATTCTCCTCTGATTAATTGTCTTTTAGTTATTTTGTTGATCATAACGATCAGTAGCTATGATGGCCTAACACGCTCTAATCACTTCATTTGAATTCTTGTTAGCAGTTCCTGGGTGGGAATAGTTAATATAATAGGTTTTGGAGACGTTAAATAGCACATTCACTGGAATTTGCCAATTTACCGACTATCTGAACTCAGTTAAGTTTCTCAACTTCTACAAGCCCAGATTTCCTCATTTGCAAATTGGGGTTAATGATAGAACCATGCTCATAGGGTTGTGGTAAGTATTCAATGAGATAATTCATGTAAAGTGGTAGATACTTATTGACTAATAATAAGTATTATTTTTGTTAGTTTTGTGGGAAAATATGTTCAAAGTTTCATATATCTGGATTTTTGTTTGCAAAGTTTATTTACATGTTCTTTTCTATTATCCCTGAATAAAACAAGAGGTTACTTAAAAACAAAATTTAGGGAGTCAATGACTATAAGAACCATACATGCAGTCTAATTGCTTTATAAACCCCACAGTTTTTTTTATGCCAAGAACCCAGTTAACTTCAGCTGAATACCTATGAAATATAAATCTCTATTAATTATTGATAAAACAATTGGGTATAACATAAGTGTGTCGTTGAATAAATCATGTTTTCTTTTAGTTGATTCAAATCCCTGGCAGTACATAACCATAAACACAGGCAGGCATGTTGTTGCTTTACTTGTAAGGTGATTCCAAGATCTCTGCCATCTGCTTTGAATGGCAAATTGTCAACACTCTCATAATTTAATATATGAACTTTGTTGCTTGATTAATTTATGTTTATCATAATTAATGATTTTTCACTATATCTGTAGCTTCTTTGTGCCTTGCAATTTTTTTTCTGTGAAGGTGGTTTGCATTAGTGTTATTATGCTATGAAAGAAACTCTTCCAGGAGCAAATTATTTGTTGTTTCGGTAAAAGCAGTCCATGATCCTGAGACAACTCCATAGATAGCATGAGCTTTACAAACTATTTTATTCACAGTTATGATTTCCTAAATAGGACATAAAATATGAAATCAAGTAGAAAACCAAAGTCACTTGTTCTTTATTTAGTATTAATGTCTGAGTTTGTTAGGGATTGGAACTAATATTATGAAAATTTTCTCTATGTACCGGTTACTATATACATGTTATTTATTATTTACAACTACAACCTTGGCCAGTTAAGTTGCATACATTTTGAATTTATCGATTTTTACATTGACACTCAAAGAAATCAGGATAACCTATCCTAGATCACACGAGCACATAATCAAGCATGCATCTGAACCCAGGTTAATTTTATTCCAGAATATGTGCTTCCAATATACTAGAATCGCATATTGTGGTATATTGGTGTTTCCATTATACCACAATGGCAAGTATTATGCACTCATGGATGTCTATTACGGTCCCTGAAATCCAGACTTCCTGTGAGTGTAAGTTTTGCAGGGTGTAAATTATGCATTTACATCCTGTAAAATGCATATTTTTAATAACCCTGCATTATACAGTTAAACAAATAAAATAATCCTAAAATAAGTTTTTAAAGAAAGAATGTAAGGAAACGCTATGAAAAGAGATGTTTGATTCAAAAGTAGATAGCAGACTCAAAGTGGACCAAATGATGCTGATTAAGTGAAGAGACTTCTTATTCATTCATTGGATAACTGTCATTCTTTCATTTTCAGCCTTACTCTGTGCCAATAACTGAGCTGGCTGCCAGGGATACCAGAGTAATCAAAAGCTAGGATAGTCCTCATACTCTAATTTCTTTGAATCTTATTAAGGAGATATGTTAATAAATAAAATTATGAAATTGCATTTACTTACTGTGATCTGTGTTTTAATGGAAAATATGGGGGACTATGAAAATTATAACACGGAGATATGGACACACATTTGCTACAAGAGAACCAATTTAAAATCATTATGAAAACACAAAAGCATTTTACCTATTCTGTACATTTAAATATTCAGGTTTGTAATGAGGATGTAATAATGATATGAATAAACTCATATAATTGAGCTGTTTTTTAATCATTATAGTTAAATACAAATATTTTCTAATTCCATTTGTGATATATTAGAATGGTAAAATTATAGAATTTTTTTCTCTTTCAATTTCTATTTTTAAAATATATGTATAGTTACACGATTTTTTTAAGCAGATGTAGAATTATCTCTCATACTAAAATTTTTTTAAGAATGGTGACTGAATCTTGGGAAACACTTTGAGGTGAATGTGTGGGTATGTTGAGGGGTATAATTTAATTTTTTTTCTTTCTTGTTTTGGGCTAAATGAACTTTGTACTCCTGATATGCCTGATCTTCAGTTTTGAAGGTGAGGAACTACAGCTGCAACTCAGCTGCAGTGATCTCCTTTCCTGGTTTCTGGCTCATAGACTTGATTAAAAGGAAAATTGAAAACACATCCAACCTTGAATTAATGCTACAAGATTAGGGCAAGGCTATGGAACTCAAACTTTCAAGGCACTAGCACATTTCTGCTTTTGCTAAGTCAGAGTTCAAAATAAAAATGAAAAGTATTTCATTAATCATTTATTTACAATCCTATCAACCCAGGTTCAGATGCATTTTTGTGTGACAAGACCTTTTCAGTGATATAACTTAAATTATGTATGTACATAAATATCTATGTGTATATATATATATATACACAAACATGCAGTCATATGTATATATATATTTTAAAAATATTTTTTCCTGAATGACATAAATCTTACTTAAAATATATTTTATTTCTTTATCTTATTAGAAAAGTAATCCTGTAACATGTTTAGTATAAAAGATTTTTTTAATGCTATAAGTATAAAGGAGAAGCTAATAACCATCTATAATCCCAAGGCATGAAGATAAACCATGTTTCCATTTTTGTGCATGTCCTTCCAGTATTTATCATACATGTAAATAAATATTCTACTATATATATATATGCACACACACAATATATACGTGCGTATTTATTTTGTAAGTATAAGTTAATATTTTATGCTCTTATTTTCTTACTTATAATGATATTTTTCAATATCTTGTAACGGCTATTTAACATCCTGCCATATCAGCATTCTGTATTGATCAATTAATCCCTTAGGGTTAGACATCCAAGCATTTCCACCTTTTTGCTGTTTTATACAATGTCATGACAAACATCCTTACAGAGAAATCTTGAAGTCACTAACTTGAAGATGGAATTTTGATTTATCTGCATAAATAAGTTACAGAACTACATGGGCTAGAAAAAAAATTCCGCAGGTCTAATTCCTTTCCCTCTTTCCATCTATGCACTGAATCCATCTTCAAACTGACTTCTAGGGTAGTGTAAAAAATAAGCTGAATTGTGCTCACTTGACAGCACATATACTAAAATTGGAACAATACAGAGATTAGCATCTCCCCTGCACAAGGATGACATGCAAATTCGTGAAGCATTTCATATTTTGGAAAAATTAATAAATAAGCTGAATTACTTTAAATAATGTGTGTGAGAATGGGATCTTAAATGAAAATTATATAACTACTGACTATATAAGTTTGATCCTTTTTTTCATATTATTGCCAGGCGTAGAAAGTTAAAAAATGCAAATACAAAAAAAGCCCATTTGTTCTTGAACATTCCGTGACTACCTTGAAGTTATTACTTCTGTAGTATACACTATAAGATTGCAAAATGAAGACAGAACGTAAGTGATAGAGCCTTTTAGAATGTCACTATTACTGGGGTAATGACAAAGGCTTTATGAATGCTAGCTTCCTCTCTCCTCCAGCAAGTACACATTCTCTACTGTCTACGTCAGACTCAGTTGGCCAGCACTACTGACTGAAAAATGATAGAATTACTTTTCTTTTATTTTTTTTTATGACTGTGAATATAAATCTATAGTAAATTGCCCAACTGAAAAGGTAACATTGAAGAAGAAAACCAAAGTAAGTTTTCTTATGTATGTGACATTAAGGCACTGAAAGCGAATTAGCAGACTCTGCCTCACTTTGTTTACACATCCCTCATGGGGTTAATATATAGGGCCAGTGCTAACAAGTTAGTTATATGGCCAAATAATGATAGCCTGCGGAAAGAGAAGGGGAGCTGACGTCCTGACATTTATTTTTAAAATAGCTGAACATTTTCCAGGCACATTTTGTCAGTTCTACTGACAAAAGTTCTTCTGTTAGCCATCTAGAATAAAATTCTTCTCAACATGACATAATTGAGGATCCACCTTAAAACTTTGAAAAATAAAGATCTTTTCAAATTCAGATTGACTTTCTGACTCTCTCTGTTTTTACTTTGTGAAGACACTGAACTTGAAATGAATGTAGTTCTTTTTGTGAGTATAAAAAAGTTGAAGAGCAAAGAAGATCCTTTAGGAATTGCTGTTGAATAGAGTGATATTTTAAAATTTGAAATAAAAGTGACTACATAAAATTGTATTTGTTCATATCTTATAGTTCTAATACTTAAGATTTTGAACTGATAAACATCTGACAGAGAGGGTTATTTAAAAACAGTCCCAGGTTTTAAGCCTAAGCAATTGACCTTTTAGCTTAGCAAAGCTACTAAGTATTTTAGATAGTGAACTAGAATAAAGGTTTTTCTGGAAGGAATAGCTTGAGGTGTACATGGGGACATCATAACAGATGCCAGAGAAGATCAAGGGCCTACACACTATGCTGAAAACCAAAGACAGTCAATGAAGAACTGGGAATTAAAGAAGTCACATGAGGGCCGGGCGCGGTGGCTCAAGCCTCTAATCCCAGCACTTTGGCAGGCCGAGGAGGGTGGATCACGAGGTCCAGAGACCGAGACGATCGTGGTCAACATGGTGAAACCCCGTCTCTACTAAAAATACAAAAAATTAGCTGGGCATGGTGGCGTGTGCCTATAATCCCAGCTACTCAGGAGGCTGAGGCAGGAGAATTGCCTGAACCCAGGAGGCGGAGGCTGCGGTGAGCCGAGATTGCGCCATTGCACTCCAGTCTAGGTAACAAGAATGAAACTCCGTCTCAAAAAAAAAACAAAAACAAAAACAAAAACAAGAAGTCACATGAGGCTAGGCATAGTAGGTCACACCTGTAATCCTGGCACTTTGGGAGGCCAAGGTGGGAGGAGCAATTGAGCCCAAGAGTTTCAGACTAGCTTGGGCAACATAGCGAGACCCATCTCCACAAAAATTAGCTGAATGCAGTAGGGCATGCCTCTAGTTCCAGCTTCTTGGGAGGCCGAGGAGGTAGGATCCTTTGAGACTGCCCTGCACTCCAGCCTGGGTGACAAATCGAGACCCTGGTAAAGAGAGAAAAAGAGAGAGAGAGAGAAGAAAAGAAAGGAAAATAAGAAAAGAAAGAAAGAAAGAAAGAAAGAAAGAAAGAAAGAAAGAAAGAAAGAAAGAAAGAAAGAGAGAGAGAAAGAAAGAAAGAAGAAAGGAAAAAAGAAAAAGGGAAAGAAAAAGAAAAAAGAAAGAAAGAGAGGGAGTGAGGGAAGGAAGAAGGAAAGAAGGAAGGGAAAGAAAGGAAGGAAGAAGGAAAAAGAAAGAAAATTGCATTGCATGGACAGATTGTGAGGGGAGTGGGAAGGTGGTAAGCTGAGGTGAGAAAATGTAGAAAGAGAGACAAACTAAAATACAATTGGAACATTCTAGGTGAAAAAATAGTAAAAGGTCTTACCATAGTACAGAAAAGAAATAGACAGAATTGATGGCTATGTGGTTTAATTCTTTTTTAAAAAATGAGAAAGAGTTGGGATTTGGAGGCACTTAAATGTTAATATGGACATTTGACCAAAATAATTGGGTCGTGTGTGTAGATTGCAGACCCAATCTACACTGACATCTTGTTTTTAATCATATGACCAAAGCTCTTTTTAGATATCATTGATTCTCACAATTTACCCATAACCTTTATATTTTTGAAACTTAGAACAGAATTTGGATGATGTATTGTTATCCATCAACTTGGGACTTTGGACAAGGTGGAGAAATTATATGTATATTCTAGATCCTTTCCTCACACACTATTTGACCATTTGCTTTCAGCATAACCTTGGCATATTACTTTATTTGATTTAGTGAGCCATATGTCTTCACCAGAAGAAAACTAAAACAAAATTAAAATTAAAAATATAATGCAATGACACTCAATTTTAATTTTTTCAGAATTGATTGTAGTGATTTATTATCCTAGTATTTTTGACACTGAAAGATATCTATTGCTGCTTTTAAATTTTGTGTCCATCTGAATTACTTTCAAAGCAAAGTCTTTTCCCAAGAAAGTCCAGATGTGGATCCAGGTTTAAATCTAGGTTTGTCTTTGAAGAGTTCTGTCTTTGGGCCCCTCCTTCCTAATATCTAGCACAGAGTAATGTCTCTGAGAAAGAATCAAACTTGACAATTTCCATGGTGACATCATCCCTTCTCTAAAAAGCTTTATGAAAAAAGTGTCCTTGAAGCCAACTCTATGGTAAGCTTGGAAAAAAACAGAGGCTGAGCTGCTTAAATAATGAAGCAAGGTCATCCTGTTTCCTTAGAAAATGTTTTTATTAATCTGAAAGGAACTTTGGAATGGAATCAAAAAGTGAATTGCAGCCCCTCCCAGCTTAAAAGTTGTGTTTAGATTATTAAAAAGACTTAGCTAGTGTTAGTGAAACTAAAATGGGGAATATGCAGTGCCAGTTCAATATAAAATCTGTATAAGTTTCCATAAGTCATATATTAATACTTATTTGCATATCTTGTAAGATTTATTTCTATTATGTATTATTAGAATAACAACATTAGAAAGTGAGAGCTGTGGAAGAATAAGACACAGATTTTAGTATGAAATGATTGAACATGTGTGCATTCTCAAAGTTTTGTTTTCCATATTCCCTCCTTATAGTGTCAAAATTTGTTTGAAGAGTACATTAAAATAAAACACCAAATGAAGTTACAGTAATACTATTAATTTAACTTTTCATTTCTAACTGTCCGACATTTGACATGTCATTATTGTTAATTTTTATCAGACAAATGCATAGACAATAAAGTAAATGCACTATTTTATGTTGCTTGTTCATCTAAAGAAGTTAATTCATTGGACAATAGTCCAGATAATCAGAAACTAAAATATTGGAGGGAAAACCCAATTACTTATAGAATTGTATATTTCTCTCTCACTCATTATTTTTTCCTTTTGTTTTCAAATAACTGTTGTCTTCTCAATAAATCTCATATTTTACTCCTGCTTTGAAAATTAGCTTTAGACACATTCCAACACAATTTGTACTTAGATAATCATTAGCAAATGTTACCCCAGCCTGACCTTTCTGGCCAGACAGCCACCAAGAGATAAATGTTTTATGAAGCTTTGCCTTTAAAAGAGACTACATCCACCCTCAGGCACCTATACCTCTGGAACCTTTCTTTTTGTACAAACCTTTGTCTCTCTTTGCATTTCAAAATGAAATGATTTATGTTGACTTAAAGGTTTTATAAACATTGGTACACCAATAGGCTTGATATAGTGATTCTCTTCTGCCCACCAAGTGTCCCCTAACCCTAAATCTAAAATGAGGATTTGAAATGTCTCTCGACACAGCATGAAGGTGGAAAAGAACATGTACTAGGGATTCGTCTTATTCACACAAGTTCTCTGGCCATGTTTTGTGAACCTCAGTTATACCAGAACTGGTCTCTTTCACCACACTGAGCTCCTAAAGCACACAGGTCATGCCTTTTTTATTTTCTTCAGAGAGTGTCTGCTTTGCACAAATTAGGTGCTCAACACAACTTGGCTCTGACTGTCACTGCTGGTGAGTTTTCCTCTTGGCCCTGGTTATTTGTCAGATGATTACATGGTTGTCTAACCGATTTCCTGGTTTCTAGGCTTTTTCTTTTCCAATTTAGCTCACATAGCACTACTAAATTAGATGAATGTATTAATTCTGTTATTGAGCTGCTTAGCAGTCCCTCCACTCTTGTTGGACTTTTACCTGATTTTTCACATTCCTCTTAGATTTTTATGTCCTGTTCAAATTTTTTACTATGACTATGTAGTTTTACTTAGACATAATTAAGAAAAAAAGCTGTTTTTATTTTGAAAGGATATTCAGATATTCAAAGGAACAAACACCTAGTCTAATAAAATAATTCTGAATATAACAGCATCTTGGGTTTCCAAAGGAATGTCATCAGTCTCTGCACTTGAATCTGCTGCTGTAAATGATCAGCCATTGTGGGGAGGAGGAGATACCTACACAGATACACATAAATGTAAACACATAAACCTAACAGATGGATTTATAGAAATGCACCTATATATCCATAACTAGACATGAAGGTCTAAGCAATGTGTACCCACAGGCTGACAGTAGTTGTGTTTGTACAATAGGATAATTTGGTGTATTTGCATTTGTATCATTTTCTGAAGTGAGTTCATAGCTTTCATTAGAGTTTCAAACACATAGGTGATT